CACCATTCTCATTCGTTCGAGCTGCAAAAGGGGAGGGGGGAACGGAAGGAGGGGAGGGCTTTCAGAGGGGACAAGGAGAGTGATCAGCGAGAGGAGGAGGAGGAGGAGGAGGAGGAGGAGGAGGAGGAGCAGGAGCAGGAGCAGGAGCAGGAGCAGGAGCAGGAGCAGGAGCAGGAGCAGGAATCAGGACAAGGAGCAGGAGCAGGAGCAGGAGCAGGAGCAGAGCAGGAGGAGGAGCAGGAATGAAGATGATGAGGAAGATGGATGATGAATGATGATGATGATGATGATGATTATGATGAATGATGAGATGATGATGAATGATGATAAGATGATGATGATGATGATGGATGATTATGCTGAAAGCTTGATGCGAGATGGCAGAAGCGATGCTGGAGTGCTGCTTGCTGGATTTTTGCTGATGACGCTGATGACGGCAGATGGCGCCTGGATGACAGCTTATGAAGATGATGATGATGAATGATGAATGTCTTGATGATGATGGCTGATGAAGCACTGATGATGCTGAATGCAGATGCAGATGCTGATGCTGATGCTGATGATGCTTATGAAAGAGCTGTATGCTGATGCTGATGCTGATAGCCTGATGCTGAAGATGAAAGATATGATGGATGATGATGAAGATGATGGTAGATGATGAAGATGATGATGATGATGATTGTGATGGTGGTGTTGGTAGATGGTGATGGTGATGGTATGAGGATGAGATAGACGAGAATGAGGATTAGTGATGAGGATGAGGATGAGGAGGATGATGATGCTGCTGATGATGCCTAGCTTGATGGATATGGTGATGATGATTATGATGATGATGATGATGATATGAATGAAGATGATGATGATGATGGTTAAGGTGTGTGTGGTGATGCTGATGCTGAGCAGATGATGATGATGATGATGATGATAGTATTATGATGATGATGATGATGATGATGATGATGAGATAGATGCTGATGATGCTGATATATGAGGATGAGGAGGAGGAGGGAGAGAGGGAGGGAGGAGAGGGAGGAGAGACAAAGGGGAGGAGGAGGGGAGGGGAGGGGGAGAAGGAATAGGAGGGGGACGAGGAGGGGAATTCGGAGAGGAGGAGGAGGAGGAGGAGGAGGAGGAGGAGGAGGAGGAGGAGTTCTCGGACCAAGCACAGCCACGCCAGTGGCGAAGCTGCGGATGCCCACACTCAGGCAGGATGGAGAATGGCAGAACGGGCGCCCGAAAGCGAGGCACGCGGGCAGTGGGCCGCCCGCCGAGCACGGAGCCCGCACTCACGAGTGCTGCTTCTGGTGCTAAGTCGGGCGTGCCC